GGAATATTCATACATAGTGGATCAAGATCGATACAGATCCAGATAACTGCAATTCAAGGCAAGTCCTAAAAAGGTAGTTGCTGTTGATGAATGAGAAGAGTGTTAAGCTTGAAGGAAGTGGTCAAGTAATAATCCGTGAAAACCCAAGGTGCTATACAAGTAGGGTGGGCACGCCGCATTTCCTTGGTTAATGAGGAAGCTACCCCAATCTTCAGTCGCTGACATGGTTCTAAACTCCGGATTTTCTCACTTCATAAAAAATCCAAGCGCTGCCCTCTCTATATCGCCTTAGATAACGTTGGCTGCGTACGTATCCTACCCTCCGTAGAGAGCTGGTCTCTAAGTGTACCTTGCGGCAAGAAGGACTGCAGAATCTAAGCAGGGAGCTTCTAGTCGAACATTCTTCTGTTGGACCTTTCCTTGACAAAGGAAAGTAAGGCAGAAGTTGAACGCTTCTGTTGAAATCTAAAGTACCAGCAACCAGGAAATCTTGCAAACCTTCACTGGCCAATTATAGAACTGCAGAAAAAGGAATTGGAAAGGTAGCAGGATACACACGCGCTAGTTACCAAGCAGTGGGAAGTGTGAGGCTATTAAAAGAGACTTGTAATTTTATATGCATTGTTTGTTATAAAACGAGAACGGGTATGTTGAGAAGCGCGATAAAGTGGGATTATGAAATGCATTGAATTCATACCAATTTCAGCATTCAATAAACGAGGTCAACCGTTCGTTGTGCCAAGTTCAGTGGGGTCGTATTCGTCATTCTTTTGAGGGTGGGAGCGTATTTGGGATCTCAGTGGAAGCTAATGGTGGCGGAGGGAGAAGAGGTCGTGCTTGTATGGAGCAACAGTTAAAGAGCCACCTTCGAGGTTGAGAAATACTAGCCTAGACGACGAGTCTAAACGACCCCGTTAGGCTTGGATAACTCAGGCGAGATTTGATCCAGAACGTGATCATGGACTCTGCGCAGTAAGCGGCATCACTTGCCACTACACTACCTCTGCTCCACGTATAAGTAAACGTATTAATAAACTGATCACTCCACTAGCGCGGACCTCTTAGTGAATTTGTAAACGGTTTTGTTATTATCAGCGTTGCTGATGAAATGCCATGACGTTAGCAACCGACAGCCGAACACTGAAACGGAAAGTGATGATATCACCATCAATCGATACTGTTACTCACCAGGAACATTGCTTTACAAAAGTTACTATTTTGCGAGCCAACGATTATACAAAATGAAATAAAATCAGACTTTTTACCAACAGGAATATTCATACATACTGGATCAAGATCGATACAGATCCAGATAACTGCAATTCAAGGCAAGTCCTCAAAAGGTAGTTGCTGTTGATGAATGAGGAAGAGTGTTAAGCTTGAAGAAGTGGTCAAGTAATAATCCGTGAAAACCCAAGGTGCTATACAAGTAGGGTGGGCACGCCGCATTTTTTGAACAGAAATGTATGTAAGTGGGACTGCTGCCCGCTACTATACTGTCACGAGAATCGGGGAATTCGTGAGCCAGGGGGAGTGTAGCCAATCTAGGGGGTGGGGGTGAGGGCAGTCACTTGACATGCGTGAAAAGCTGGGTGTGCCCACCCCACTTGTATAGCACCGAAATAGAAGCGTGTTCTTTGAAGTTCAGCAGAACAGGGGCAAGATTGCAGCGTAACAAGTAGTAGTAGCAAACGGCGTCACTCACCACGCTCACGGTCCGGGGATCACAACCCGGATCGATCTGACCCAGGTTCTATCAACCCTTCCATCCCTATGAATGAGATAGGCGGGTGGTGATTCAGCGGCAAATGGTGCTGCATGCCTCGAGCATGGTCCGAGATAAAATCCTTAGCTGTAAGCTGCCCAAGAAACCTAGGCCTCCCATCCCTCTTGGGGTCGGTTAATTGGTACCAGACTTGTCTGGGAGGATAAAAACACTGACTTGAATACAGGCTGGCCCCCGCAAGTCATTGTATAGGCCACATCGCATTCAAAATGCCACCACGATTGTGAATGGAAGTGGAATGCGTGGCGCATCACAATAAGGGGCCGATCAATGCCGAATGACCTATCCTTAACGCTTTAGCAGCAAATCGAGTTACATAGGTAGAAAAAAGGTAGGAGAGGTACAGTAATACAGCCAAAAACGATTCTAGTACGTCTCAAAATTTTTCTGTGAAAAATTTCTACCAAGACCAGCACAGGTAGTAATTCCTTCAAACTGGTTTTCTGCAATAACACAAAATGGCCATGTGAAAGAAAATAAATAACCTGATAAATAGCTGTTCAGTAAACACGCAAGTATTCTATGAGATGACGAGAATCTATGATGAAC